CTGGTTTTTCTCTTTGAGAGTTGCATCGCTCTATTCTGTCGGTCGAGAGCAAGGTGACAGTCGATTCGCTACGATGACCGTGCAAATTCACGAGGATTCAAGGCTAGTGACTCTATCTGGTGTCTTACAAAGGCGGCGATGAAAAAGAAAAATGATCCAATCTCCGGCTACCGTGCAAATGGCCTTGCCCGGTCTAAAGCCGTGCCCACGGGCCTTAAATTAAGCCGGGGAGAAACCTTTTTAATCTCATGACGGGAAAAACTAACGATGTCACTAGGTACTGGAATTAACGTGATTAAAACACCAAATGAGTTGGTTCATGAACGGGCAAATGGGTCAAAAAAACCTAAACATCAGCACTAAATCAAATTTGACCTCTCAATTCTAAACGTCTCAAAAAGTTTTGTTCTTTAAACAGATTTATATATACTTATACCTAACGTCACCAAATTCATGCTAATTGGTTTAAATAATTGTTGGACAAAAATAATATTTGATTATTTGGAGATCGTGAGATGGGTCTAGTGTGACGTAGGTTTAGAGAAATATTTTCTTCACAGTGCCAAGAAATACTTCATTTTACTTATTAAATCCATTAGATTTCGTGGTCCGATTGACCAAATAACTTCTTTCAATTAATCAGTATCTTCACTAAAGCTCTCCGTGGCCATTTCATTTGCCGCCGAGAATCGAATAGATTGATCGAATATGACAAATGCCAAAAAGGAGGAAAAATTCGAGAGGTGCGGTTGAGATGGGATGATGGTGTCCGAGTGAATCGAAGTCACGATAGCTCAAGTAGTTAGAGCAGCGGCGTATTTAGCCGAAGGTCGTGGGTTCGAATCCCGCTCGTGACACTGGCTTTTATTATTTAAACCAATACCTTACATAAAAATTAATTAATTGAAAATTGTTTAAATTATAGAAATGCATGTAAGATGTGAAAAAATGAATTTATACAATGATAGAAATTGTAGATTCAATCAAACACACACAAAACAAACACTTTAAGTAAGTACAAATAATTTCATTGAGTCTAAAATTTCTATCATTGTATAAATTCATTTTTTCACATTTTACAATTATTTGTATAATTTAAACAATGTTTATACATTCCAGGCCCTCAAGATGATCTCAATAAAGGTCGAAACGTTGGCACGATAAAGAAAATGGTTTTCTAAACCTACATCATACCAGAACGCATCTCACGATCTCCAAATAATCATTAATTAACGGTCACTAAATACCACAAAATATATATATATATATATACTTTTTGACTTTAACCTACATCACAGCATTTCGAAAATCCAAAAATTTCCTTTTTCCGCCGAAAGCACGACAATAATTGTACTGAAATTTCTATTCTAATATCATTTCAAAACCATCTTGACATTAAGCGCTTTTTCTATGGAAAATTAGCATGTCATGACGCGCACTTAATAATCCAAGGTCGTAAATATTCCAAGATGGGTAGAAAGATCTAAACGCATAGCTTATTTTCCTAAATTTGTTTACCAACACTTGAATATTTAGAAAAACTTTTTAATTGTAAATTATCCCTTTTTCATTTCAAATTAACCCTTTCTTTAAAGAATTAAAAACATTTAAAAACTTAGGAGATGGTATGAGATGTACGCCTTTATAATAAAATTCCTGCGCATTTAACTTTTTTCCGGCCAAATTGACCCTTTTTAATTTCAAATGAGTACTTTTTAACTTCAAATTAAAATATCGTAAATTTCAAATTTTACTTTGAAGCATTAAAAAACCTTTTACAAATCTTAGGAGATGGTATGATATATACGCTTATAAAGTAAAATTCCTATGTATTTGACTTCTTTCCGGCCAAATTAACCCTTCTTACAATAACTTCAAATGAACATTTTTTAACTTCAAAATATATTTTTCTAAAATTTCAAATGAATACTTTTAACTACATATTAACTTTTAAACTTCAAGTTACGTCGTTTTCATTTCAAATTAACCCTTTCTTCAAAGCATTAAAAAAACTTAAAAAATTGAAGATTTCCGGCCAAATTAACCCTTTTTAACTTCAAATTAAAATATTTTAAATTACAAATAAACCCTGATAACTAATTACTACTAACAAATTACTTATTATTAACTTCAAATTAACATTTTCTTTAAAGCATTAAATATATGAGATGGTATGAAATGAAGGCCAATAAAGTAAAATTCCTGTGTACTTGTTTTTTCCCACGAAATTGCATTTTTTAAATTTCAAATTAACCCTTTCTTAAAAGCAATAAACTTATGAGATGGTATGATGTAAAGTAAAATTCCTGTGTATTTGTATTTTTTATAAGAAAAGACTAAACTGGCTCTTAGGGTGATCTCATTAATAAAATTTCATTTTATATAAATTTAAATATAAAAATTCTTCTTTTAATTTGAGATTTTTTTTAATATAAAATATTTGAGGTCGGCTTGGAATGAAACGTTCCATCCATACCTTCTTTCATACGGACAGATAATAACTCGAAATTACTTCGTGTAGGACATTTTTAATATAAAACCATCTAATTTTACCAATACAGATTTGCAAAAAAAAAATTTAAAAAAACAATAAATAAAAAATTTAAAAAAACGCCAGAATATTCAATTCAAAACCCGCAAAACCTTCCAATTGTTTGTATTGAACTTGTTTTAAAAAAAGCGACATTTTAACATCGGTTCGTATAACAGAAAACAAATCAAATATTAATGTATTCAACTGTCGAACTCGTACACCGTTGAATATTCATGGCGATTCTCACAGACACTCTTGTAATTTATTCAATCACCGGTCGTTCTCCGTTTACGATGGCTGTCGAATTCTGCAGTCGGGGAAGGGATTTCGGGGAGCTGAAGAACTATGAGAAAATCCTTCCAGTTATGATGCGAAGAAACACGACAAACATAGTTGCGAAGAACATAGAACACATAAAAACAGGAAGTCCATTTTTCTATTGCAGTTCTCAATTAAACTTACAATTTGTAAAACTAAATATATAAATAAAGGATTCTTCTTTTAATTAGAGAATTTTTAAAAACATATACGGGTTATATCTGAAATACCACATAAAAATTAATTAAAATCAAGAGTTATAAAAAATTAAATCTAAAAACCAATAAATCTTCTAATAGTTAGAGATTTTCGAATTAGTAGAAGAATAATTTGTTTTATATTGAATTTTCCCGCTCCAAAGAATATCGAGTTCTCTGGGGGAGCGAATGTGATCAGACTTCTATGTTTGGGGTAATGTATCGGTAATATATTTGTACGTCTGGCACGAATCACGACCAATAAAGCATTTGCATTCGGTGGAAAAGATTTCCGATAAAACTCTGAGGAGTTCTTTCCCATTCATCGAGAACAGAGTCTCTAAATCTTCTAGGGTGTTAGGACCTGCGTTTGGCCGTCTTACTCGTTTCTTAACTTGGTCCCAAATGTGTTCGATTGGTTTCAAATGTGGTCTGGACCCACCAAGATCTCAATTCCATCTTCATGCAGGTAGTCTCATTCACAATCGTGTCTTTGTGGCCTGATATTATGCTGCATTAGCAAGAATTTCTCACTGATGTGGAGGGCAAATCACACTACATGTTCTTCGATTATGCCTTGTAAGTACCTCTGTGAAGTTAGAGATCTTCCTTGCACAATAACCAATTCGGTGCGGGCGTCCAAGGAAATGCCACTCAGAAAATGAACGACCCGCTATGGAATGCCGCCAGAGGATCATACAGTATGAGGGATACCTCTCTCCTAAGCATCTCCTTATGAAACGACGTCCATCAGGAAATTTGAGGTCAACTCTCACCTCATCTATAAGGGAACTCGTTCCCAATTTTCCTGCGAAACTCCTCCGAATCCTTGGCGAATTGAAGCGTGGCCATTTTCTGACTCCTGCGGTTATTTTCATTGAGCCTTCTTCTTATAGGCCTGGAGGAAATCGAAACATTTCGGACTTGTCTTGTCAAAGTTCTTATCTCATTTCCCGTAAGGCGTGGTTTCGTAGAGCTTGATGTTGAACGAATCTATCGTCTCTTTCGTTTGAAGACCTAGCACGACCCTGTTATAGCAATGTTATGAGGGGCGTCGGTAGCCGCAACGGTTTAGGCGTTGACACGACGCTCATTACTGTAAGGTAAAGGTCCCGGGTTCGAATCCAGCGGCCCTGCATCCCAACCCGACATACTTACAAATGGGCTTTTTTTCAAAAACACCGGCACCCCGAGGGTTTATATAACCTCTGCTGTTGCACCCTCGTTTAAAAAAAAAAGTCTTTGGCGTAGCAAAATCGAAGGGCATAATGCTACTTTTGATGCCAATGGAATTAATTAGTACAAAAGTAAATAAAGAAGTAACAAAAAGCATTATTTACTGTTGACTACGACAGCTTCAATATACCTGTACCTAATGCAGAAAGATAATGAATTTAATTTTAAACTAAATAAATTGAGTATCGTCCATCAGTGTGTTTTGTTTTCAAAATATTCTCAAATTAAAAGAAGATCCTATACTTTTATATTTAATTTTATATAATTTTAATTTTGGGGCGTCGGTGGCCGCAACGGTTTAGGCATCGCTGTAAGGTCCTCGGTTCGAATCCAGCGGCCCTGCATTAGAACGTCACATACTCACGAATGGGCTTTATTTTTAATTGTAATTAATGTTCATATGGTCTCCTAAGTGCAAAATTATTTTATATTTAAAAAAATCTTAAATATACAGGAATTTTACGTTACATATTTATATTTCACACCAACTCCTTAGTTTTAATGCTTTAAAGAAAGAGTAATTTGAAATTAAAAAGGGTTAATTTGAAGTTAAAAAGTTTTAATTTGGAAATTAAAAAGACTAATTTGACGGGAATAGGTTATACCTATTGAATTTTATCAAAAATAAAATAGCATCATATAACTTTATAACAACTTGATTGCCACTATAACTCTTAAACTAAAAATAAAGCCTAATATAAGCTTAATTTAATTACCTTGTTTAATGGGCTTTTTCCAACTTCTGACGTCGTAAAGTACAACTCTGAAAGAAAGAACAAAACATATAAATTTAACATATAGATTTATAATTTAACGTATATAGATTTATAATTGCACATAGTAAAAAGCGATAAAAATGTCCAGTTATTCGGGATTGAAAGTAGAAGGTTTAACCTACAACGCCCGTGATGTCGGAACTGCCTCGTAATATTTTATCGGATAATTTCCTTGCCGAGAAAAAGGATAATACCGGATGAACCTGCGGTGCAAAGCGGGGAGAACTGTATATAAAAAAAAATTAATGAACTTTACCTTAGTTCGTTGTATCTTTGTCATCGCTCGGAGGATTAAAAAACCAGTTTAAGATAATTAACTATCAGCTATTACCTCTAATCCCCTTTATTGAATGCATTTATTATATCTTTTTTTATTTATTTTTTAAGAAAGAAGTCAGCAAATTGTTCGAGAAAGGCGAGGTCGTAACGTCAAAAAGTTTCAATGGTTCAAGATCAAAGATATGCAATGACTAATAATTTACTAGTCACTCGTACCAGTGAAACGTACCTGTCTGATTATCAAAAGAAAACCAGTATGAGATGTGTTCCTGGCGTTGTACTTTTAAAACTTGGCTAGCAAAAGAGACTTGGGAATTATCGAAGAAATGTGAGTCCGAATGTTTCCAGGCCGAGTTTTACACTCGCAGTGAACGTCTATAATTTTTTATATTTTTTATCGACATCCCGCTACTTCTTCCGATATAGATTATCGGGCATAAACGAGACAAATAATACAAAACAAATATCAAGGATCATGTCAACTCAACTTGGCCTTGACCAGCCATCAGGTTAATCTATATGACAATAGCCTAAGAGCAAAGACAAGCCGAAACCAGTTAGTAATGGCCAATAAAAAATAAATTTAAAAAACAAGAAACGAAAAAGGAAGAAAAGCTCTTATCTGGAAACGAGTCTGTTTTTTCGACTGCGACCACACGTGTTAATCATGCAATCTTACATCCAGGTTTGATGTGCGAAAGTTTTTTTGAAGCTAAGCCAGCGAACTCAACCGCTTAAACATTCACACAATCTGCAAGATAATCTATAATGGTAATCTTCGGCGACCCATAACTGGAACGGACTGACTGTTAACGTACTTCCAAGCAGACCTCCCCCTACCCTAAATTAAAACCCAATAATTGGATAAGATTTGAAAAAGTTCGTCAAAGGACCATGGCAGAACTTAACAGCAGAAATGTACAGATATTGCCAGGAAGAACATACAGTGTTTGCCAACTTTTGTGGAGGCTAGCTGTTACTCCTGGAAGGGGAAAAGCTGGCTGGAGAATACACCTTAAAAAGCTTTGCAATCTGGTAAAAAGCTTAACAAAGAGCTCTAGATAGTAATATGCTAGGTCGTAAACAGAAACTGGAAGGAGATTGTATCGGGTTCAGGGGTATGGTATCGAGATTTTCATCCTTCGTGAATAGTTTTCTTAGGTACCAGAGGGTTCTATTGAACACTGTGCCAGGAAGACAGAAGGTTGGCTACCAATGAAAACCATCTACCCGGACAGCCAGGTAGCACTAAAGGCCGCATCAGTATCAAAATCCGGAGCCGTTTTGGATTGCATTAAGGCCTGGGCAGACATTAAGGAAAACATCAAAATTACCCTGCTTTGGATTCCAACGAAGAGGACAATAAAATGGCCAAGGAAAGTTCAATGAGGACACCTAACGACCCCTGAACCCTTTGGCATACCAAGGTGCCAAACATGTAGATCCATCAGATCAATGGGTTTCTAATAAGACCTCGGTTACAAAGAAAGGTGTCCGTATTCATCAAAGGAACGTCGAAAAAACTAACGGCAGAACTAATAAACGGATCTTCTGGCCGATTAGACTCTGCAGACTTCGGGGACATATGCAATCTCGGGATGTCCTCTATTGGTGGCATGATCTATGCAGGCTGATATTCCTACTCCTGAATAGTCAAAGCCTGAAAGATGCGCACGATAATGATGGAGATTGCATCATAGACCAATATTGGTCGCAAGATGGTAAAGAGGCTACTTTTAACCTTAAACCGATGGTCCCATAACCTTTCGTTCCTATTGCCGGGTATTTCTAAATGATGTGTACTAATGTCTCTGTTTCTTCTAGAAACAATTTCTTTTTAGAAGCACTTCCCTCGTACCATTGGGTTATTTTTGTGTCTTTTTGCTTGCCTCATGGCTGGAGAGTGCCCAATATTTGTGGTTTTCTTTCGTAACCAAGATTCTAGTTTTTTATTAATTTAGCTATCGTTTGGGATTTGGTGTAAGCTTTGATCCGAGGCTCGCTCTTTTGCTAGTAATCTGTATTCTCATTGTCTGAATTTCCGTCATAACCTGGAACCCATCTCAGCTTCGGGCTATTTACACATCTCGGTGTTTAGGCATTCTAGACTAGTTTACGGTTTCACGACTTTTTAGAGCAGTCTGCCTATCCAAAAGTATTATTATTGTTGAACCAAAGGATTTGTGGCCATTCCCGTACCATTTCTTATCTTAGAACCTACCTAACATGTGTCACCCTCTCAATTTGGGGATGACACTTTCAGAGATACTCCGAAAAGTGAATGGGGCACATATTAGAATGCTGAGTGGGGGAAGTTCGGAGGAGGGGAGATATTCAATTTGAACTGGAAAAAAATGATCATACGTGTTCCAGACTCGAAACTTATTGCTCGAGCTAGTGCCAAACTTGAGAATTAAATTGTATGCTAATTTAGTTCCCACGAGGGTGAGTTGAGGGATTATGTTGTGCGGTCTTATGGCTACAGGTGGAAGTTAAAGAGTGGAATAATTAAAAGATTTTATTCATTCTATGTTACAATTTTTGGTTTGCCTTGTATATACGTTTTGTAAATAAATTTTATGTTTTCAGTTTATTTGGTTTCAACAAGTGTGCTTTTATTTGGTTTATTTTACCATTCCCCGTATCCTTTCCTTTTAACTTATTGGTCTAATTCCGATTCCTTTCCTATCCCCGAGTTTTGGAAGTGTCTTACCCTATTTGTTATGTCGTTGAGAGAAACACCGTCACACAAGAAAGGGCGCCAGGCTTTTCTCCTTCTGTTTACTTTAAATCGTTCTGTCCTTCAATTATTATATTTTAGTGCTTTCTCAAACATTTCACTACGGCCTTTTAATGATTTTTCTTCTCTGAACGATGAATTCACCATCATTTGGGTATATAGGTTGAAATAGGTAAAACTTTAGGATGTATTCCATTCCACCTTTGGGTGTTGTTCTAAGATCACTAATGGTGCCTTTTTGTTAATACACCAATTTTTAAGTGGTATTCTACGAGAACAGACGGATACAAATTTGCTTTATTCGATATTTTTCACGACCGCACGAGTCGATAGCCGTTTACGAGACGCCGAAGTCAGAACCCAACAATGTAAGCCTTGAAAATATTGCAATCGTTAAACGACGTCTGTCAACCCGCACTACGCCTCCTTTTAAGCACATTAACGGTCTTTGAATAATTTTATCGTCCGAGGAGAAATTGAGAAAATACCATAGGCCTAAGATGGCACGTCGGTTCTCTATCATATCCAGTCGGATTGCCATAAATGGAAAGAAGTTTTACAGTCGCATTCAATGGAGTTTATAAAGCTTTGGGATTTTATTCATTTCTGTTGTTATAAGTTCGTAAAGGCAAACACTATAATGCATGGTGGCGTTATAGAAAAAAAGAAACTGACGGTTAAAACAAGTCTACCACACCTCTTCAAGCAATTCACATATTAAATAAAATTATCACGTGCGCTAGACAAGAGATGTACATACCACCCCACCCCACATCATCAGACAATGTTTTATGAAAAAATTCAAAACGTTCAATTTGGATGAGCTTGACCGTTAGCAATTTCTGACAGCTTTGTTAGATAGGAGAAGGTCTCTTGCCCTAACCAATTGAGTAAGACTACAATGTCCTATTCTTACGCATGCCGAGTTTGTTTCCTTTTTACGGGTTGAACTGCAGAGAACCATTGTTTTACCTTCTGCAGTTTATTGTTATTAACTTCATGACATCCGTTAATCCAGCTTTCCCAGATCTTATTTTAACTGTGATGTCCAAAATCCTCGAAAATCTCCTTTTAAAACCCACATACTAGATTCTTAGATTGATGATTCAAACTGGGGTGTGGCAACGAGTATTGAGATAACAGTGATACAAGCCGGACAAGGGTGCATTAATGGTCCCATCCAAGCAACCTTCAACATACAAAAACACTTTGAGCTCATCAAACATTGGTGCAAAATGGCAAGACTGAATATGGAAGAGTGTAAATTTACTGTGAAAATATAGTCTCAACCTCCACTCTACATGTACAAAACAAAAAAATACGGATTTCCAATCCCCACTTAAACTTACAAGACAATACAAATCATAACTGCGATCACTAGCACACCACACCAAGCCAACTAATATCAAGAGTCTAAAAGTCCTCAGATTAATCGTCAAAGCTCCGTACTACTATCCACAGCGGCTTCAATATTCCTTATACCCTGAGGTGATCCGATCTAGCACCAAAAGGTTCCACATCAAGATTTCTATCCATCTTAATCCTACTGCGTAACCCTCTTATCTCCTCGGCCATAATCCTTCATAGGCTGTTTTCTCTTAGAAGACATTACTGTGAGCACCCTGGACTGCGGGGTTCCCTCACGGGATGTAATGTCCAGCACATCCAACAAACATTCAAAGGTTCTCAGACTACTACGTTAATCACTTCACCATCCATTGGGACTTCAACATTCCTTTAACTCTGAGGAGATCTGATCTCGCGTACAAGGTTCCACATCAAAATTTCTTATCATCCTAACCCTATTGCCCAAGCCGTATGTACATTTTCCCATCTTGATAAACCGTCACATTGCCTTCAACCAAGATGACCTCCTGGCCCCTCCATCGTATTCCTGGGACAGTGATGGTAACTTAACTAAATGTAGATCTTTACCGCGAAAAATTAAAATCTACATAAGACTTTACC